GGGGCGGCGGCCAGGGAGGAACAGCCAAAATGCCCCCTCGGCTTATGCGCGGGTCACCAATTTTTCCCAGTTCTCTGTGGGAAAATCGGTCCCTCGGCTTATACTCGGGTCGACTTATACTCGAGTATATACGGTATTTATTATCAGTGAGGTTGACTTCCATAATTTTAAAATTAATTAATTTTAAAATTAATTTCCCCTCATATATCAGGACTATATATTCTACTTCACAACATGATCAATGCTCTTAGGGAAATTTTCCTCTTTAAAAAAAGATTTTTGGTAATTAAAAAAAATAACACCAAAAACCTATGCAAAAATGGGAGCACAAGGAAAATGTGCGTTGTCCTTGGGTCCTGATCACATTGACAACAACAGGAGGGAAACATTAACTATATTCTAGTCTTTCTCTTTTCCCTTCCTCCTCCTCCCTTGATATCCAGGTTATGCCTTCCTCCTTTTCCAAGAGGAGAGCTCTGTTCAAGCCCTGATCAATGCTTGCCTTGAAGAAGATGGAAAGCTTTATTTGTGTGTTTCCAGCCCTACTATCAAGGATAAGCCTGTAAGTTTTTTTTAAAAAAAGCTATAGATTATAGGAAGAGAAACGTGAGTATTTTTTTAAAAGCCTCCAGAACAAGTTGTAATATATCTGAAGACTTTTTCTAAGAGGATGGTGATGCAAACATGTTAAAATGAAATTTAATGTTATCATCAAAAAATTAATGTAATGCTAAATTGAGTGAGCAAGTTCCCCAATGAATAAAATGGGGAGAGCTTAAGCAATATTCTTCTGCTTGCCCCTACTTGCCCCCCCAAAAAATAATTCTCTAAAGTTTCTTTTCTCATTTGATAACTTTGGAACATACCAATAGTTTACGGTTATTCTTCTGTTATGGGTTGTAAGCTTTACTGGCATTTTATATGGATTCATAACAGTATCACCACATAAATGCACTTACAATCATGCAACTGCTTTGCTTTAATAGGTTCAAATCCGCCCCTGGAACTTAAATGATAGTGACTTTGTAATGGATGGTTCACAGCCTTTGGATCCTCGAAAAACCATTTTTGTTGGTGGTGTTCCCAGGCAGTTACAAGCTGGTAAGTGTTAAACCAAAGTGCCACAATCTTCTGAAGTCACCCTCATCCTCCCAAACCAATGTTTGTTCATTTTTTATCTGGGGCTATTACTGAGAAGAAATAATCACTTTTACAAATTTCCCCAAAAGTTCAAAGCAAAGTCCAGTACACAATTCCAGAGAAACCCTGATGATTGGTACTGTGGTACTGTGGTATGGTACTGTGGGCAGCTGAGGCTGATATAAAGAACAGGGATACAACCTCTCACTGTAGATTTACATACATTACAATATATGTTTGATCATTGCAGAAGAATAATTGATTGGCTTTTAGCCAATGTGTATTAATGAAGTCAGGATGGCTAGGTATGAAAGGGACACTACAAATGCTGTTTATTGACTTTTACAAAAACAGGTCTTTTTCTCTAGAAAGTTACTTTTCTATATGTGTCATCTAATAGTCTTGCTTCCTGTTTTCACTATCCCTTTAGTCTGTCTTAACATTCTTTAGTGTCTAAATGTTTTATGGTTAAGTCAACAATTTATTACCCTGGGAAAGAATTTGGGGAGGGTTGGAGTGTATCTATTCTAATGCAATTTTCCCATTTCAGTGCCATTTACCCTAAATTAATTTCAGTCCACCTCCCAAACAAAACGATGAGAGAACCCTCAAATCAGACAAAGCCTGATTTGGAAACAAATACCAAACCAACCAAATTCAAAACTACACCCCTCAGTAGGAAGGATAAGGCATCCAGCTGCAAGCAAATAATGAAATATGGGCTCTAACTTTGAGACAATGTTCTTATTCTCCCTCCCCCATCATGTTCCACCTGGGTCTTCAATAGTAGCAGAGGGAATCTCAAGCCTACAATTGGCCTCTCTGAGCATAGTGGGAGCAAATTTTGACCGGGGTGTCAAACTCAATTTCATTGAGAGCCACATTAGCATTATGGTTGCTCTCAAAGGGCCAGGTGAGTGTGGCTGGTTCAACGTGACCGGCTCAATGTCACTCACGTTGAGGGGCGCCTGTGGGGGGGCTAGGCAAGGCTGGGAGCGCGGATCTGGAGTTGTACGGCAGTTCCATGATGGCATGGCGGCTCGTGTTCTGAGCAACGGTGAAGCCTCAGAGGCTTTCCCTGTCACAAATGGCATTAAGCAAGGCTGTGTACTGGCACCAACCTTGTTCAGCATGATGTTTTCAGCCATGCTGTCTGATGCCTTTCAGAACAGCTCAGTGGGAGTCAATCTGAGGTACAGAACCGATGGGAAATTGTTCAACCTGCGAAGACTCCAGGCTGTCACCAAGGTAAAGGAGTCTGTGCTACGAGATCTTCTCTTTGCTGATGACTGTGCCCTTAATGCAGGATCGGAGCAGGAAATGCAAGCCAGCATGGACAAATTCGCAGTCGCTTGTGACAACTTTGGCCTCTTTATCAACACGAAGAAAATTGAAGTGATGTACCAGCCAGTTCCAAAAGCCCAATACCAAGAGCCTACCATCACAGTGAAGGGACAAAAGCTGCAAGCAGTGGACCAATTTATGTATCTTGGTAGTAGCCTCTCCCGTGCAGTGACAATTGACATCGAGGTCAACTGTAGAATTGCCAAGGCAAGTTCTGCATTTGGCAGACTGCGGACTAACGTGTGGGACCGCCTTGGAATAAGCCTTGCTACTAAGCTTAAAGTTTACCAGGCAGCAGTGCTAACTACCCTAATGTATGCTAGTGAGACCTGGACAGTGTGCAGGAGGCACGTCAGGCAACTGAATCACTTCCACATGACTTGTCTTCGCAGAATTCTGAGGATCCGGTGGCAGGATAAGATAACCAGATACAGATGTCCTCTCCAGAGCAGGCCTATCATCAGTTTACACTCTGTTGATGAAAGCCCAGATGCGCTGGGCAGGCCACGTTGTAAGGATGCATCCCTAAACAGCTCTTCTATGGTGAGCTGTCTCAAGGAAAGCGATCGCACGGGGGACAAAAGAAGCCATACAAAGACACGCTGAAAACATCTCTCAAGTCCCTGGATATCAACACCATCTCTTGGGAATTTTTGGCGCATGATCGACCGACATGGCGTACCCTGGTTTACCAGGGTTGCCAGACATATGAACACAGAAGGACAATCTTGGCACAAGAGAAGCGAGCACTCCGTAAAGCCAGAGCTGCAAATGCTGAAGCAATAGTGTCCACATTTCTCTGTTCAGT